GGCTCTTTACAGCACTGAAAGGCAAAGAGAGATGCCCCTTTGAGGGTGAAGGTAGCTGAGCAAGGGGATTTTCAATCACCTTGTATGTATGTAAAAGCTAGACAGTGAATAACGATCAAATAAGAGTTGATGTCTCTGCACCGTAGTGTTGTATCAAATATATCACAGTGTGCCCGAAGAACAAAACAAGGCCGTGTTGGTGGCCCTACGCCAGAATGTTCCTTACAAATAAAAATGGGGAGGCTTTGTCTCATGTACTTTGTTGTTTGCTCCAGAGCAACTGGGAAGCTTTTGTTGAAATGCAATTCACATGCCATTAAATTCAATATGTCATTAAATTTAGTGTATAGTTCAGTTGTTTTTAGTATCTTAATGGAGTTGTACCACTATTAACCACTATCTACTTCCAAAACATTTTCAGATAACACCCCATCCTCATTGGCAGTTATTTCTCCCTGTCTCCCAGCACTTTGCAACCACTACCTACTTTCTAACACATACAATTATTTATTCTGAATATTTCATAGAAATAGAATCGTTGAATATGCAGTTTTTTGGGGTCTGACTTCTTTCATTTGCTATGCTTTATAGTTCATTCATGTTGAAGCAGAAATCAATAGTTCAATCATTTTAATTAGTGAATTTGCTAGTATATACTGTATTTTATTTATCCATTCATTATATTCTTATTTACTTATTCAACTGATAAACAGTTGGTTTTATTTCTACTGTTTGGCTATTATAAGTAAACTCTATAAATATTTATTTGTATGTTTTTGTGTGGACATATGTTTTCAGTTCTCTTTGTATATTCCTAGGAAGTGGATTGCTGGGGCATATATTAACTCCATGTTTAACTTTTTGAGGAATGGTGAAACAGCTTTCCAAAGTGATTGCACCACTTTATACCCCACCAGCAATGGATGTGGGCTACACTAGCTCCACATCTTTATCAACAGTTAGACTGGATTTTCTTAATGATAGCCATTCTCGTAGTATCTCAGTGGGATGATGGTTTGCATTCCATGATAACTGATGATGTTGAGGGTCTTTTCATGTGCTCTATTGACTATCTGTATATCTTTGGATACATGTTTATGCAAATGTGTTACCCTTCTTAAAATTAGGCTATTTGTCTTTTTTATTGTTTACTTTTAATATTTTGTATATTCTAGAAACTAGTCCCTTATGAACTATATAGTTTGGAAGTATTTTCTCCCATTTTATAAGTTGTATCTTCACTTTAAGTAACAGTATTTTAGTGAATTTTTGGTGAACGTATATAGCAGATTAGGTTCCCTTTTACAATTGCTACAAATTGTTCAGCAATATTGGTTATACTCTTCAGTTTGTGAATATTCTCATCATTTCCATTCTGGTTGTTCAATTTCCAGAAATCTGATTTCCTTGCCCCCGTACTTTCTCTTCTTTGTTTTAAAGTGATGGTTGACCACTTTGTCTCAGATGATAATTTTTTAAAGGAGCATGTTACTCAGGGGAAAAACTCTATTTTGTGAGCCAATCTGTTATTTAGTTAAAAGGCAACCTCAAGGGCTAGGTCTAGTTCAAGGTTTAGAGAGCATTTCAGGGAAATCATTTTAGATAGTATGCTAGTCTCAATTAGCCCAGTAAGTCTGCCTTAAAACAAAAAAATTTGACTCCTGACAGAAGGGTTACAAGGAAGGGATGAGTCAGCCAGGGTATAGTACAGCACCTATGAAACACAGCATTCTTCTAGTTCATTAATGCTTCCTACCCCCCACTATCATGACCCCAGTTCTTCCTTACAAACCTGCTGGACTGGAGCATGTACACTGGTACAGATAAAAGCTCTTGACATACGGAATCCAGGACAGATAAACCCTCCAGGAACATAATGGGAGTAGCGATACATGAAGATAGGGGGAAAGGGGGGAATCGAATGGGGACAAAGGGGGCACCTATTGCAAGGATTGACGTATAACCCCGTCTAAGAGGATGAACAACAGAAACATGGGTGAAGAGAGACAGAGGACAGTGTAAGATGAAAACAATGATAATTTATAATTTATCAAGTGTTCATGAGGTGGAGAGGGGCTAGGGAGGGAAAAAGAGGAGCTGATATCAAGGGATCAAGTAGAAAGAAAATGTTTTGAAAATGATGATGGCAACATATGTACAAATGTGCTTGATACAATTGATGTATGGATTGTTATAAGAGCTGTAGGAGCTCCCAATAAAACATTTATTAAAAAAAAAAAAAGAATATGTTCCACATTTATCTCCCCTTGAATGACGATCCATCTACTGACCAAAACAGTTGGTACTGGTATTTGGCACCAGCTACTTATTTTGAACTCAAGTTAAACTAGATTGTGGCTCATGTAGAGAGTCTCATAGATTCTTTTCTTCTTGAAGGATTGGATTCTTTCTCTTTTGCTCTTGATGAGTGGCGATCAATGGTTGTCGTTTAGATTCTCTTCACTTTCTTGTTAGTGTACTTTGATTGTAAAGTATTAACTTTTGATTGAGTTTAATATATCTGTTTTTTATTTTTATTGGTGTCATGTCTAAGAAACCATTTTGTGTTAAAAAGGTAGTTTCTTGTGTACTATTTTAATTCCCTTAGGATTTTTTTGTGTGTGTATGTGTGTGTGTGTGTGTGTGTGTGTGTAAAGCCTTCAAAAAGTTCATGAAAAAAGTCCCATTACCTTTTAATTCCATTTGAACTTTATAACAACAATATCAAAATCAAGGATAACGTTTCTATGTTTATTAATCAAATAACCTGTGTAAATTTATAAAGTTCATTATGTAAGGCAATGAAGTAAAAAAAAAAAAAAGTCTCATTTTGGCTATAGTTGGTAAGGCTCAATGCAGTTAGTGAAAAAGACATACAAAAAGAAACAATTAGTAATAGTATGGCTACTACAAAGCAAACGACTCTCAGCCCAAAAGGCAGCCACAAGGTAGGGCACATGGGACCAGTTGCTTAATTACCTGGTAAAAACCATAGATGTTGTGAAGTTCTCGGTGTTCCCAATTACCATGATGGACAGCGTTCTTCTGCATGGTTAGTTCTGGCCCTCTAAAAACAGAGGGCTCATTCATGTCATTCCATATGAAGAGGATGTCAGTTGATCCCTAGGAAGTAACTCTTGGTCATTATAATTCTCTTACAGTGATAACTTCCCTATTTTCTTTCCTACTCTACCTTTTCTTTGTCCCATACAAACAATCGTATTATTGGGAGCTCTTACAGATAGCATAACATTCCACTGTTCCACATCAAGCAGTGTTGTACAATTGCTACCAATCAGTTTCAAAATCTTTTCTTTCTTCTTGAACTCCTTGATATCAGCTCCTCTTTGTCCCCTCCCCCCCAATGTCCCCCAGGCACCCTTATTCCTTTTTTCTATTAATTTGTTTTTCTTCCATATCTTACACAATCTTATCTATCCATTCTTTTGTTCAATCCCATTGAATGGGGTATACAGTCATCAATGCTATTAGCTCCCCATTTCCTCCCTCCCCTCCCTTCCTGTACCCTCAGTGAACCATTACTTCTGTTACTGAAGAGTTATCTAGCTTGACTTTCATGTTCCTGAACGATCTTAATTATACATATTAACATACACAAATCTAACATGCTCAATGAGGTAAAACAAATAAAAGTCATAATAGTAAGGGGAGGAAATATTAGAGAACTATAGGTTGGTTAGTTATATAGTTCATCAGTGCCATACTACGCCCTGGATTTGTCATCCCTTCCATATGGCCCTTCTGTGAGGGACTGTCCAATTATCTTACAGGTGGGTTTTGGGTCTCCTATACATCCACGCCCCTTCACATCAATTTGGTTGCGTGTTTTTGAACTTCTGATACCTATTCCTGCCGACATCTCATGATCACACAGGCTGGTGTGCTTCTTCCATGTGGGCTTTGTTGCTTCCCTGCTACATGCTGCTTGTTTAACTACAATCCTTTAAGACCCCAGACACTGTATCTTTTAATAGCCCGACAACAACAGCTTTCTTCATCACATTTTCTTATGCACTCATTTTGTCTTCAGCAATCATGTCGGGAAAGTATCATACAGTGCCACATTATTAGAACAAACTGTTCTTGTACTGAGGTAAGGTTTAAGTAGAGGTCCAAAGTCCATCTGCTTCCTTGTTGCATTTGCATATATATACATATATAAACAAGTACACACACATATATATATTCTTCTTTCCTCTTTTCTTTATCCTCCTACTCCACTATTGTGTTTGCCCACCATTTACCTCCTACGCTACTTAATTTATTTATCATCCATGTTTTATTCTGCTCTACTGCTACAATATAAGTTCTGCAGAACAGGATGTTGTGTTTGTTTTGTCTACTGAAAAATCCCAAACACCTAGAACAGTACCTGGCCCCCAGAAAGTTATCAGTAAATATTTGTTGGTAATAGAAATAATGAACTGTATTGGCTATAAGATATGTATTTCCCAGCAAGATCACCCGCGATCCACCCTGGGGAAGCCCCAGGGGAAAGGCCGTGGATGTTTACCACTAGGCATCATCGATTGCCTGCTACAACTCTTAACTAAGAGCACCTGCAGCTGTGCCTGGTAAGGTGCATCTTCCCTCTAACACACTGAAGGATTTGACAGCTTAGACACTTGTTAGCATGATGTATAGTCTGCGTTCTATATAACATTGTTTTAGAGTGGGAAGGGACAGGTGAAGTGGCGTAGCAGTTCCTTTCATGGGAAAATCCCTGTCTCTCTGGATGTGAAGGAACAGCTACAATGACAAAGCAGCACATTCTATTATTTCCAAGTTCTGCTCTTTGTGAGGTCCCATCACGGGTCCTTGCTTCTTTTCGGGAACACTGTGGGATCTATGTGCTGCTTCGCCCATATGATAGTCCTTTAAATGACTAGAGTTGGCTTATGAGTCTTTTGTCTCTTTTCAACTCATTTCTAAGCATGTGTACTATGAATAGGGCTGAATGATTTCTGAGTGTTTAACCACCCTGACTGTCCTTTTCTAGCAACTTCTAAGCAGGAGACTAGCAAACTTTTTCTGTTAAGGGCCAGATTGTAAATATTTTCTACTTTGCAGGATATATACATATACATACATACATATATCCTTTCTCCCCTTTTCTTCAATTTCTCAACTCTGCTGTTGTAATGTGAAAGCAGCCATAAATAACAGGTGAATGGATGTGTGGCTGGATTTGGTCTGAGGGTCTGGTCCTACTCTGTGTTGTTTACTGGTGTCCTGAAATACGATGACTAGAGAGTAGAGGTTAGTGGCTAAGATCTGAGCTTGGCAGACAAACAGACTGAATTCAAATCTTGGGTTCCCCCCACTGACTAGTAGATGACCTTGGTAGGTTTTTAAAATTTTAAATAATTTTACTGAGGGATCATACAACTCTTATCACAATCCACACATCCATCCACTGCGTTAGCACATTTGTTGCCATCATCATTCTCAAAACATTCTTCCTACTTGAGTCCTTGGTATCAGCTTCTCATTTTTCCCCTCCCTCCCTCATGAACCCTTGATAATTTATAAATTATGTTTTCACATCACTGACCGATGTCTCCCTTCACCCACTTTTCTGTTGTCCATCCCCCAGGGAGGGGGGTTATATGTAGATCATGCGATCTGTTCCCTCTTTCTCCCCCTACCTTCTCCTTACCTTCCTGGTATAGCTACTCTCAATATTGGTCCTGAAGGGATCATCTGTCCTGGGTTCCCTGTTTCCAGCTCTTAGTGTACCCATGTACATGCTCTGGTCTAGCCGGATTTGTAAGGTAGAATTGGGGTCATGATAGTGGGCGATGGGAGGAAGCATTGAAGAACTAGAGGAAAGTTGTATGTTTCATCGGTGCTATTCTGCATCCTGATTGGCTCATTTCCTCCCCTCGACCATTCTGAAAGGGGTTGTCCAACTGCCTACAGATATGGGCTTTGGGTCTCCACTCTGCACATCCTCTCATTGACAATTATATGATTTTTTGTTTTGGGTCTGTGATGCCTGATACCTGATCCTATGATCACACAAGCTGCTGTGTTTCTTCCATGTGGGTTTTGTTGTTTCTCAGCTAGATGGCTGCTTGTTATTTTCAAGCATTTAAGCCCCCAGACGCTATGATAGCCAGGCACCATCAGCTTTCTTCACCACATTTGCTTATGCACCCACTTTGTCTTCAGCAATCGTGTCGGTAAGGTGAGCGTCATGGAATGGGCAAGTTTTTAAGTTTCTCTATGCTTTAATTTCCTCATCTGTGAGATTAGTTAGAGTTCCAATTTCAGAGTGGTATTTAGAGGATGAAATGGTAAAATGCATATAAAATGCTTAGCATACTTCTAGGCACATGTTAAGTGCTCAACTAATATTAGGCAGCAGCAGAGGCGATAGCAATGTCATCATAATTGGCTGAAGACAGTGTTTCAGATGCTACTTCAGCAGATCTTAAACATTTTTTTAAATTGATGTTTTATTATGCTTTACTTTTTAATGATGTATTATATTATTTTGCAAGATAATTTCACATGTCATCTCATTATTTTTAAATAACAGTTATAGAATACTTTGTATAAAAATATAATCAATTGTTATAAAATACTTTGCTACATCCTAGAATAGAGATAAAATTATAGCATGTGTGCATTTGGTAATGCAAGTGGCACCTCTTGTGGAACCACCAAAATCCGTGATGTGGCGCCATCCTTCCTATTTCATATAAGCATTACATATCGAGAGCATTTCAGTAGTTCCACTCAGGCCTTTCCTACCCCACCCCCCTTCCATACCCTCAAGTAACTAGGAAAGAGTAAAAGAATAAAAACAAACCTTATAAGCAGGAAAAGCAAAAAGACTTGAATACCACTCTCTGACCTTGGGATTGGTGAAATCCAGGTAAGAGGAGAGACCTGCACAGGTGGAATGGGAGACAACCTGTTAGGAATAGCAGTCCTCACTGCATGTGTCATAAATAAGACGATCAGATGTGAGGGCTGCGTAATGAATAGGCATCCTAAGTCAAATGTAGATAGTAGCTCACGCAGAGGCAGTGTTTAGGGAGATGTGAATGAATGTGCTGAATTCCAGTGACAATGATTAGATCTTTCAACACCAGAGGCACAGAGAATGTCAGTGGATGAGCATTAAAATGAAAAAGATCTCTCAATAATGGCATAACGTAAGGATGGCAAATATTCAGGAGTAACTCTAAGAGAAAGGCTTTGTAAGTGATATAATGAGGGGAAAAGAGATGAATGGAGCTTCTCTACAATGCACGGATTTATACTGCCTCCCTATACAAAATGAAGATAGTGCAGGACTGGGTGGTGTCTCCATTCTGTTGTACACTGGGTCATTATGAATCAGAGCTGACTTGAAGGCACCTAACAACAGCAGACATGAAAATAAAATCATGCCTATGGTTATCTCCTTTTGCCCACACCTAGTTCCCTCTTAGGGTTTAAACTAATCATTTTTGAAATACAGATTCTAAAGTGGCCAGAGGCAGCTGAGGTTACTCACAAAAAGGCTGGGAAGTCAAAGGTATGGGTGAACAGGGCAAAGATCAATCACAAGCAGGGCACCTACTGACCTTCCTCATGTAGTCTTGCTTCCCCCTCCCCCCCTCCCATTTCCTCATTCCCTGACTTTTTATTTTTATTTGCTTCGAGAAATCAGTATGCCAGAGAGATTGCTTTGTTTACTTAGCATCCATTCATTTGTTCATGGATTGCTAAGTGTATACAATGCACACTGTACCAGGTGCTATGAAAATGGCACAAAAGAAGGCAATGCCATCTGTGAAAGGAGGCTGCAATGTACCTAGGGGAGCAAGAGACACCTACAAGGAAGGTGAGTGATATCCATGTGGCCCTCAGTAACTGTACAGAACAAGCAGAAACAATAAGTGCACAGAGTGAAATCTTACCAGGCCAGCATACTCCTTCAAAGTCTCCCCCTTCATGACTCCTCACAAAGAAGCCCCGCTTTTTGGCCTCAGCATACAGTGAGTAGTTGGGGTCAACTTTAATGTGGGGGTCACTGATGACCACAAGCTGTAAGGATATAAAGATTTGACCTTTGTTTTTATCTTTCTCTCACAGAAGGTTGATGGGTTCAGACCAATGACCTTTTGGTTAGCAGCCAGACATTTAACCACTCCTGGCCTACCCTTTCACCACCCTGAAAGCTCAGCCAATCTCCTTTCTTTCTTTTTAAAATCATTTTATTAGGGGTTCATACAACTCTTACCACAATCCATCCATACATAAATTGTGTAAAGCACATTTGTACATTCATTACCCTCATCATTCTCAAAACTTTGCTCTCCACTTAAGCCCCTGGCATCAGCTTCTAATTTTTCCCCTCCCTCACCACTCCACCCTCCTTCATGAACCCTAGACAATTTATAAATTACTGTCATATCTTGTCATATCTTGTACTGTCCAACGTCTCCCTTCACCCACTTTTCTGTTGTCCGTCCCCCAGGGAGGAGGT